AGGCTGGACATAAGGAAGAATTTCTTTACTGTCCGAGCCTCCAAGGTCTGGAACAGCCTGCCCTCGGAGGTGGTTCAAGCACCTACATTGAACACCTTCAAGAGCAAATTGGATGCTTATCTTGCTGGGATCCTATGACCCCAGCTGACTTCCCCAATGATCTTCTGAGGTCCCTTCCAGCCCTAATGTCTATGAAATCTATTAAATTAATCTACCACCACCGTGATCCTTTACCACTGTTTCTAAAGGAAAAATCTCTCTGTTTAATCTACTGTTTAAGGATTGGTCTAAGGGCTGGATAAAGGGTTCAAGAGCTCTAATCCTGGCCTAACACCAGAGGCTTATGGGGTCCCGGATCAATCATTAACCTTTTGATCTGTCAGTTCCCCACTTGCACAATGGATATGTTAATGTTCCCTTACATGACCGTGTTGCCATTTGCTCTAGTTACTGTTTGTAAAATACCTTGGAGGCAGAAGTGTTAAGGAGATTTGGACTGTTGCTATTGAAATAATAGAACTTGATTGATTCCCACAAAGGTGGGGTACCTCACCTAGACTGTGGTGCTCCCTTCTTTTAACACCAGCAAAGCAAAAGGAGCAATTAAGGTGGGACAAGCTGGAGAGGCAGGGAAAGGAAGGATAACCGCTTTATATGATGCTGGCTCTTGAACCAAAGTAAACGTTCAGCAGAAATACCATTTGTGGCAGCCCGTGGGAATGCAGCTGCTGACAGAATCAGGGAGAAGCCACTTCTTGTGGGACAATCAGAATTCCCTGCAAGGGAATCTGGAAAGTTCACAATATAATTTTAATATTTCATATTTCCTCCAGGCAAAATGAAACCTTGATATACAGAAGCTTTATTATAGTCAGAAATGCCAATTATCACTAAGGCTTGATAGTGGAGAAAAAAAGGGCCTCGCTGTTTGGGAACCAACTATGATGTTGATGGGATGTTTCATGGCTGTGTAGAGGTTTACCTTCGCAATGTCACTATTAGGATCTGTGGGACTGGAGAACCCCTCTCTAAAAGACCACAAGGGTATTTTAGAGTAATTTCTCTTCCCTTACAGAATAATCTGTGAGAGAGAACAGCTGGTTCCTAAATCATAGAAGTGGCTTACTGACCATTATGGATTCTTTGCACCTATCTGTTCTTAGCTTGAAACTTTTCCACAGTAAATGGAATCTGTCCTATGGTTTACACATTCCTGTACTAAAATCCCTAACCGTACCGAGGAACAGAACCAAAACACCAGTTTCTTCTTCCTGTTGTTTAGGAGGAGGAAAATTAAGGAGCAGAGGAAAAACATTCTTAAAAAACAAATCCTGGTGACCACTACACTATGGCTTTAGCAGATGCTGAACTTGGTCAAATTTTTAAACTTTCCTCCAAACAGAATTCATCAGTTTGTTCCCCCCATGTGCTGTTCGCCAGCTGTATTAGCTTAGATTTCCCTCATATTCTTCTCAGAATCAGCAGTGGAAGAAACACCCTTTCCTGCAGTCAGGCATGCTTCTGTCACCTTCCCTTGATGCAGTAAGACAATAATAATTAAAAATACCTTG